CTCTCTCTCTCTTGCCTGAAGTGGTGTCTGAGTTGGCATGGTCATCTGTTGTGGTGTGGTAATCAGTATCGTCTGAAGATTGTTGCTAGCTATCATCTGCTCGTACTTTCGGAGTAACCAGCGTAGGGATCGTACTACGTGAAGTGTGGCTTCGACTATCCTCAATTTTGGCGGTAGCAGCTGTCGGCATGGTGTCTAATCTACCTACCTCTACGATAGTTCGAACATGTTTCAATTGCGGAGATCCAGGGCACTTTGCCCAGTGGTGTCCACATCGGCAAGGTCAAGGGAATGCTATTGTACCATCATCGGCTCCTCTTCTGACGATGCCATCTTCGTCCAATTCTGCGGTTGGCGTCGTGGCGAATCAGTACAAGGGCAGTGGTTGGTATGAAGCGAAGCAGCGATTGATTATTTTGGAGAACACGGTAGCAGAAATTAAGTTATGGCATGATGCCGAAGTGGAGAAGGAGAACAATCATAAGGAAGAGGAAGACAGGAAGCAGAAAGAAAAGGAAGATGAGGAGAGACGTGCGAAGGATAAAAAGGAACGAGAAGATTTTCAGAAGCAGATGATGACCACGATGAACCAGAGATTAGACAAGATGGATGAGTCGATCAGTAAGAAGAATGGAGGGCAGAACTCGGAAGTCGAAGTATTGAAGAATGAAGTTGAAAGGTTGAAGAAAATGCAGATTCACGGGGGAAGTTCGTCGACAGCAGCTAAGAACACTACTGATAATGACGAACTGATCGGCAGACTGCTGCGTGATCAAGACGCCATGAAGAACAGATTGGGCGAGGCGCTGACCGCACAACGGAGGCTGGACGCTATGGAGAAGGAAATGAGTACATTGAGGCAGATGAGGGATGACGCGATGGCCGAGACTGAGCAGTGGAGGACTGAGGTCTTGCGCCCTGGTAATAAACGGGGTTGTGTTGTTGTTACTCCAGGAACGCAAGGTCGTACTCGCCCTAGGGCAACTCCTTTGAAGTCTCCTGAAGTGGTTGTTGACTATGTTGGGTTGGTACACAGGCACTCGTTGGAGGTTAAGACACTACAAGAACTGAGATTGAAGGAGCTCAATGCAAGAAGGGAGGCAAAACAGGAGTTGGAGAAGTTGAAAGAAGAAAACGCGAGGTTGGAGGTTGCTCAGCGGCTGCGAGGAACCGACTTACGTCGTCGTATGGAGGAGGCTGAACGGTCAACAGGGAAAGGGAAGTTGAAGATCAGTACTGATGCGGAATCTTCACGCGTCAACGATAAACAAGCCTTTATTAAAAGAGAGAAGAAGGCGTTGGGAAATTTGAAGAAAGATGATATCGCTGCGATCTGCGAGAAGGAAGGGGTGGAATACACCACGTTAAAACAAAGCGTCGAAGAAATTATTTCGGCTCGTGTGAAAAAGATGTATCCAGACGATGAAGGAGGTAAGATACATGTTGTTCCGGATGACAGCAACGAGGGACAACTCGATGACGGTAAGTTGGCTGGTGATGTTTCCGCCGACTCTTAGGGTTATCCCCGAGCGTGGCTGAGCTTTGGCACTTAGCTTGTCTTTGTTCTAGGATTCGTAACTCTTCTTCTCTCTTGAGATGTCGGACATTGAATTTGTTGTTTCAGCTGGTCGTTATTTGTCTGATTTTGGGAGGATGCATACCGTGGGCCTCAAAGCTGTCGGGCCATATTGGGGAGTGGTGGCATGATGACGTTGGTAATTTCAACAAATCGGGTCCTGTTATATATGTGCTCGTTTCACCTTGGTGTCGACATATTTATATAGGTAGTTTAGGTCAGGACTTGGAGTCACGATGGTGAGAACATGTGTACAGGGCTTGTAGCGAGAATTTGGTGGAGAGAGGTAGCACGAATGAGAAATTGTATATGTGGCTCAGACGGTGTGGAACTAATCAGTATGTTATTATTCCTATTTGTTTTTGCTCGGAGAAGGACCTGTTGTCTACTGAACGATTGTTCATAAATTAATTTGGTGCTTCGCTGAATTCTTTGGAAAGAACTCGTAAGAAACGTAAGCAACATCCAGGTAAGAGGGAGAGGTTGAGGAGATATCGTCGTAGGTTTGGTACCTCTGTTACCGGTGGGTGTAAATCTAAGTCTATTCTGCGGTTCGATGCATCCGGGAGAGGAACCTCTACTAGATTATTGCGTATCCTTGACGATTGTTGTGAGTTACAGTTGACTTCTTGTGAGGTGCATTGCAAAGGTGGAGATCTTCGTGTTGATGCTTGGAAGGTTCTGAAGAGGTGTTATGGATCATCGATTGTGTCGTGTAAGTATGGTAGAGATCAGCTGAGATCTTCTAAGGGCTGGCTGGTGGCCGGTGTTGATTTGACCTTCGTCTCTATCGTATGGAATTGTCAGAAGTCTCATGCGCTAAAAGAACCTCTCTCTTGTCTATTAAGCTATCCACCTTCTCGTCGAAATCTGAAATCTTGGGATCTCCGCCAGTTGATTTGGGCTTTCTCAGTTGTACGTACTTTTTCGAAAAAAAGATCGCGAAGCAGGTTACGTTTTATTCTGTCCTATGCTATCTCTTCTCGTTTCGATCTTTCTGTGAGAAGAAGATTGGTGGTCCGATTGCGTTATGATGAGAGAACTCGTAAGTCGGAGGTTCGCAGACTATGTGGCCAATTGGTTCGTAACTTGGATATCAATGACGTGTGGAAGTCTATGATTGTTCGAAGACAGAGGGTTGTCTGGGTAAAAAATCGTTCGATTGGTGATCTATTGCATAATTTCCGAGCTTACTCCAAGAAAGACGACGTAGTTTGTAGTTGTCTGTCTGCAGACGATGCTTTTCCTCGTAACAACGGACATGTGGCCTTTCGCATCAGCGGTTCTGGGCTCTTTCCGTCTTGGATGAACAACTCGCGTAACATTTTGCGGCCTTCTGGTGGTGGTAATCCTATAAGATCTCTTCGAAAGCAAATTCTAGCCTCTTTTAGCTCCTTTCTTCCATTCTCTCACGTTATTCTGACCGATTCTTGCGTATCTGGGTGCCTAACTTCTTCTGGCTGTAGTTCTATTCTTTCCTGCACCGAAGATGAACTGTGTCGGCATCTTCCGAGATTGGAGAATCTTGTGTGTAGTCCAATCGACCACAATTTGGGTGACACTTTCGTCTATTGTCCTATTGTCTATGAATCTGGTATGCGGCAGTTGTTTCTTAGCATCCTTCGTTGATAGTCGAGAATAAAAGTGAGGAGTCGGTGCTTCAAGTGTGTAGAGTTGAACATGTGAGCAATGGTTTTCAAAAGATAGGTAAGTGGAGCGAGAAGGCTAAGATTGGGGAAGCCTACTGTGTGCCCAAGCACAAGGACATTAGCCGATGGCGGCCTATTTGTCCATCTTATTCTGAAGAAAATACTCTTTGCGGACGACGGATGGCGTATGCTGTTAATGCAATGCTGTGGAAACTGTCAAAGGATCTGCACTTTAATCTTCTATGTACACAAGATCTGATTCCGAGTCTTGATAGGGTCAACAAGGACTTGAAGGAGAATGAGTCGGTCCTTAGTGCCTCATATGATGTAAAGGAGATGTTCTCTAACCTCCCACATAACTCGATCATGAAGGCCTTAAGATGGATTGTGGATTATTGGGTCAACGATGAGTACGCAAGAGTCATGGTTAGGACGCATGGTAAGATGGCTAGATTGACCAAGGGCAAAGGTGAGGGTGGGTGGGTTATGGTCTCCTTCTCTGATATTCTTAAGTATGTCTCCTCTGATCTGGATCACACATTCATCCGAGTTCGGGGCGTCATATTAAAACAAGTGGTCGGTATTCCAATGGGTAAATCGACTAGCCCCGCTCTCGCTTGCCTTCTCTGTGTCTTTTATGAGTTTTTGTTTCTCGACTCGTTGGGAGTGGATAGGAGCTTGTTTGCAAGTTTCCGAATTGTTGATGATGTGTCCGTGTGTGTGAAATTCAAGAAGGGTGAGCTTGCTTCTCTTACTAAAGCTCGATCTCTTCTTTGCTCTTTTGGCAGTTGCTACAACCCTAAACTGGTACTTGAGCGAATTAGTATCGAACGGAGTTGGGATCTCGTCGGCTGTACGATCAAGATTCTTGATAACCCTTGCAGAATCGTTTGTGTTGCGACTCACAAAAACCAGAAGGGGGATGTGAATGGGGATCTTGTATTCCAAAATATCCAAGACTACTTTTCGTACTCCAGCAAGAAGCAGAAGATGGTTGTAATTGTCTCCTTCCTTCATCGCGCTCGCACTTATACTACTTGGCCTGGTGCTGAGTTTGCTTTTTTGTTTACGTTGAAATGTGAACTGTGGCGGAGAGGGTACCCAGATAAGTTCTTTGATTTTGCATTGACCAACTTTTCGAGACGGTTTGGTGACTGTTGGCGCATTGGTTGTTTGTACTGACCAATTGGGGTCGTATGTTCTTGAGAGAGAAGCAGAGAGAATGAGGCATGTATGTGGTCGCTTGGTAGGACTTGTTTGGTTTGACTGGTTCGCCTGTATTTTTCTGCAGTCATTTAGCAGCGTTGTTTTTCTTTTTTCTTTTTTCTTTTCCTTTCTTCTTTCTTCTGTTATGAGTTTTTTCGTAGGCCCTGAGCATGGGACTTTTTTGTTGCTGATGGTTCCAAACACGGGACCTTTTTTGGTGATGCCTGTATGAGAACACAAGACCTTTTGTTTGACCTGTAGGTTTTGAGTACGAGACATCTTGTGATTTGTGGACACGGGACTTTGCGGTTTTGTGAGGTATAGGCCTTGAACACATGATCTCTTTGTAGCAAATGAGTTCCTGTTGTCCTTTGCTGAGGCTGTGTGGGTTGAGGTTGGATCTTCGAAGACCTCCAAGTATCTTTGTAAGCTTTTTTGATTTTTGAACTCCTTTGTTTTTTTGTTAACCTCAAACTCTTGACGGCAGTGGATTTTTCTAGTTGGCGGTAGTGGAAGCAGTAGTAGAAGGTGACGGTTCGAACTTTTTTCATTTTAACTAGGTTGATCCGAGACTAGTATCGTAGGACTGATGTTTGTCCTAACATTCTAAGTATATATATGCCTAGGTTTAGACTAATGTCACCTGCGACTAAGACCCCTTATGAGGACTGGTTGGCGGGCCAGTCGAAACTAGTCGGGTCCTTTCGCTATGCTTCATGTTACTTTTTAAAGTCGCGTTCGGGGATTTTTTCAAAGCTTTGGCGTATTCTTTCCTCTCTCTCTCTCTCTCTCTCTATCTATCTATCTATCTATCTATCTATCTATCTATCTATCTATCTATCTATCTATCTATCTTTTTTTTTCCTGAAGTGGTGTCTGAGTTGGCATGGTCATTGGTGTGGTAATCAGTATCGTCTGAAGACTGTTGCTAGCTATCATCTGCTGCTGGACTCAGAATCCGACGAAGACAACCCTTCGGGTGTTCGACGCAATAGCTACTCCGCTACGGCACGAATGTTCGAAGATCGCTTCGGGTTGGGTCCGACAAAAAAGGGCGTGGATCGGAAAGCTTCTTCCTCTGCTTCGGCCCCCCGTCGCCCTAGCCAAGCACAAGGAGGCTGGGGTGAGGAAGAAGTGTCCATGAAGGAGGTCGCGGCACAATTAGTTACGGTAGTGGCCCCGTTGACAGAGTTTGTTCATGGCCTGCAGCGGCAACGCCTAGCCGCCGCACAACGGCAACAAGCGGCTATGGCTGTCGGGGCCCCTATGATAAGACTGGCTGTGGCCGGGGCTTTCCAGTCCCTACGCTGTTATAACTGCAATCAGCCAGGTCACCTTGTGAAAGATTGCCCGAAATCTCGAGCTCAGGGTGGTCCGCTGGGTCTTCCCAAATCCCGTTGGCTGCTCCAACCGCTGCAGGCCAGGGGAGGGTGGCCACGGTGATGGATACCGGGGCAACGGAAATGGTGACCCCTGCGGCCACCGAGATAGGGCCCGGTGAATATATGGCTGCGGCGATGTTCGAACTCGGGAACATCGGAGTGATACGTCACGTCCAACGAATTACCGAGGAAAGCAACCTCGGGCCGTGGAGACCAGGGTTCGAAAACCTTGCGGCGCCTGGTCCTGAATACAAGGATGGCCATATCGACATATTGGATGCCTTGAAGGCTCTGGATCTTCGGATCCCCGTCCCTATTCCCTATCTGCTAACCATTTTCGAAGCGGCTAACGAAAAGTTGATCGAACATTGCCTCAAAAACAGGCGCCGATTCGAGGAAAGTCGAAAGGGCAAAAAGCCGGTCCTACGGGACCTACCCACAAATGAGGAGTGGCAGCCCTCGACCTCAAAGGTGCACGAAGCCGACCGGATAGGAATGATCCAGACCATAGACTCTGCCTCGGAAAAGCCCGGGGTATTCCTCCGAGCCTATCCTATAACCTGGAAAAGCGTTGAGTGTGACTGCGAGGTCTGGGGAAACCCCTCGGCCGCCATCCTAGACTCGGGATCGTCGGCGGTCGCGATTTCTTGAAGATTGACGAAACAGTTGGGAAGGGAAGGACAGGTTCAGCCCCTCTGACCGGATGAGCTGTATATATCCGCTACGGAAGACAATATTCATTGTAAAGGGCGAATAACGAACGTGCCTATACGGGTGGGGCGGGTGCATTGTTGGTTTGACGTGATTGTGTTGGATGTACAGGCGTATGATGTTCTGCTAGGTATTCCGTGGCAGGCGGCGGTCGGAGCGCGAATGCACTTTGACAGCTGCAAGGTGGTGCTCACATCGGCCCACCCCAAACCCCAAACGATACCAATGAGACTGGCGGTGTGCATGCGTACCGAGCCGGCGCCTCGCCTCACCACAAAAGCCCATCAAATCAACATGATCCGACGCCTGTCACCAGGCGAAAATGAACCCTCGACGGAAACTGACAAGACTGATGTACCCGACCGATATCCGATCCGAGTTCAGGATCGGTGGCGCCATTCTTGGCGGCGAGAACCACTGGAAATAGTTCGGAGCGAGTCCAATTGGTCGCACGCATTCTCCTCCGTGGTGTAGGGGGAACCCCTGCTGAGGGTGTCCCGAATAGCTGACCTTTCGGAACCCCCTGTGTCCTTGTATCTCAGGACGGACCCCCTACCTGAAAGATTTACCGAGCTGAGGGGGCTGTGCGATTTATCTTTTCGACCCCCATGGCCCCTACTCACGAATGAAAAAGTCGCGATACTCCTGAAAGAGGGGGTGTCGTTTCAACCTCGAATAAGGGAGTATCGGTGGGGACCGAGGGAACTGGCGCAGGCCTTTTCGGTTGAACCCTCGGCCGAACCCGAACTGGATAGTGACAGTGACATGGAAACATTGGAAAGCGAGCCGATGAGTTCGGCGGACAGTCAACTCATTGCGACTGTCCTTTCGGCGAAAACCGACAACTCCTTGTTTGGGGCCTCGCCCGATGTGAGTGCGGCGGTCCCCACGGTTACGACGACGGTCTCCCTTCCTGGGGGAACCGTGGAAGTTCAGTTACCAACCCGTGTTCCGGATGAATACAGGCGCCTCCTGATGGCGGTTATACGGGCCTATCCTGAGGCCGTACGTATTCAGGACCACGACATAGGGCTAACCCCTTTGATACAGTATGCGATTGATACCGCGGATCATGTCCCGATACATTGCCGACCATACCGATATTCCCTTAAAGAAAGACAGCTGGCTTTGGAAAGGGTACGGGAATTCGAGCGGTTGGGGTGGGTCGAACCATAGCTGGGACCGTGGTTTTTTCCTGTGGTCCTCGTGCCAAAACGAAATGGTTCAGTCCGGGTATGTATCGACTACCGAAAATTGAACGCCATTACTACCAAAGATGTGTATCCCTTGCCGCAAATCGATGATTTGTTAGATGCTATCGGGGCCGCTCGAGTCTTTTCCAAGTTCGATATCCGACACGGTTTTCACCACGTCGTGGTCCGACCGGAGGACTGACCCAAAACCCCTTTTGTCCTATTTGAGGGCACGTGGCAATGGGTCCGGTGTCCCATGGGAATTTGTAATGCCCCTGCAACGTTTCAGCGGGCCATGAATATGGCCTTCGCTGAGTTCGTTAACAAAACCCGACTAACCCAGCCCCTAATCAATTTTTGCGTGATTGTGTACATGGATGATATTTTGGTCTTTTCAAAAACACACGAGTACCACGTGGAACACATTGAGTGGGTTTTGCATGCACTGAAAGATGCGGGGTTCAAAGTGGCCTTGGAAAAAAGCGAGTTCTTCTTGTCGGAGATCTCATTCTTGGGGTATATCGTCACGTTCGACGGACTAAAACCGGATCCGAGGAAGGTGGCAGCAGTTCAAGACGCCCCGGCGCCGGTCACACTCACCCAGGTTCGGGCTTTTCTAGGGCTGGCATCCTATTACCGACGCTTCATCAAGGGGTTCGCCGGTATAGCGAAGCCCCTCACGAACCTGCTGAAGAAAGAGGAACAGTTGATCTGGACGCCGGAATGCGAAGCGGCGTTTCAGGCGTTGAAGGAGGCTCTGACATCTGCTCCTGTGTTGGCGCGCCCCGACTCGACAAGACCGTTCGCACTGTACACAGACTGACAGCCTCACGCGATATCGGCGGTGCTGACTCAGCACGGGGCGGACGGAAGGGAACACGTCATTGAGTATGCGTCCAAGACGCTGAGCCAGAAGCAGGCTAATTACGAAGCGTGCAAAGGTGAATGCCTGGCAGTGGTGTGGGGGATCCAGCATTTCCGACCGTATCTTTACGGTCAGAAATTCGTGTTGGTGACGGATCATTAGTCGCTGCTGTCCCTACGCAACAACACGGGCTATACGGGGACGCTGGGCAGGTGGGCGGTGCGTCTGCAAGACTATGACTTCGACATCCGCCACCGTGCCACGCGGCAGCATGGTAACGCCGATGGATTGACGCGCCTCCTGCCGCCCAACAAGTGTCCCGCCAATGAGCGACTCATTTCGTGGAGGCCAGAAGTCGCGGCGACGAAACCGCACTACGGGGAGCTACATGTGCTGCGCAAGAACGACGCCTGAATCCGGAATGGAGGTTTCGCCGGAGATGGCAGACACGATCTCTTTGCCCTCATCCAACTCCCTCCCTCTCTAGTCTAGTCCCTACTCGTCCCCTGAAACGCATCTAAGCCCCTGTTTCTTCTGTACTTTGCCTATGGTCCCGGACCAAGAAGGGTCACATCCGGGAGGGCCCAGTTTTCTTTTATGGGTACAATGTAGTCGGTGTCATACGGTCAAATCTCACGGACAGTGCGTTAGGTACCGAAGTGAAAAGACATGGGTCTGTCCCAACTGTAGAACGGACCAAGTCCCTACCGAGAAGCGGTATCTGGACGTTAGAACAGCCGACGGATTCGCGCCAAGTGCTCGCCAGGCAGAAGCCTGGACGGGCCTCCTGTTGCTACGGAGACTGTCAGGGGACTCGCTATCAGAATTTACCAAAGCCGAACGGCGGAGAGTCACGGAGCGGGCACATGACTATCATTGGCAGGGACCGACGTTACAAAAACGAAAAGACGATGATGACGGAGGGTCTAGCTGGTTGACGGTTCCACACCCTCTCGCTAGGTTCGATTGGACACGAGCCGCTCATGAGGAGGATGCGGTCCATTTCGCGGTCAAGTACACGGAAAAAGCCATAAAAAAGAACAGATGGTACTGGTCGGGAATTCGGAAAGATGTGAAATACATCGTTCAGAATTGCCCGGCCTGCGCGGCGGATAAGGCGCCGGTACAGATGCCTCGGACGATGGTGCCCACTCGTGTAAAGCGCCCCTTTCAGAGGGTTAGCATCGATACGACGGATATCAACGTTCCGAGAGGGCCCGTCGATCAGGGAGAACTCAATGTTCTTTTAGTGGCCGTCGATCATTTTTCAAAATGGATCGAGGCGTACCCGATGGCCAGCCGGAATTGGGAGGTAGCCTGGTACGTAAATCGATTTTTGTGCATGCATCTAGACGTGGAAGAAGTACACATGGACAATGGGTCGGAATTTCAAGGCGAAGTAGAACGTCACCTAGTCAGGGCGGACGTTAAGATTATCTACTCGCCGGGTCATTGGCCTTAAGCCAATGGCCTGGTGGAGAATGCCAACCGACTGATTAAGACCGCCCTTAGACGGAATATCACTGCAGGAGACACCCGGCCCCGGCCGGTCATTGTCGATCACATCTTGGCCGTTTATCGGGCCACCCCGCACGGTAGTACCGGGGTGTCCCCATTTCAACTGAGAACCAATACTGTCCCTCGGGTGCAATTGTCCCCCTTAGTAGGTACGGAAGTTAGAGCAACACGGGCCCAGAACCGAGAGAAGGCCCACCACTACATGGACTTAATGGCTAGGGCCTATCCCTCGTTAGCTCGCCGTCGACAGCGGGCCGTAGATCGGACACATCAACGGAAGATCCGTGACTACGAGAATCGACACGCGTCGGCGGGACCACTGCCTCGCTATAAAATAGGGGACTTGGTGCAGGTACGGAAATCCGCGCGCTCCTCCAAAGTCCACCCACGCTACACAGGCATTTACGAAGTGACGGAAGTTGGCGCACGAGGCCAGCACTCCGTGAAGCTGGTCCCCAGGCACAACTCGCAGGGCCGCCCGCTGACGAGGCACGCTGCTGCCCTCCGGCCTTTCCGGCCATCGCTAGGTCTCGTGCGGCCACTTGTCCCGCCCGAATCACCTTCTTCGTCCCCCTCTCGTGCTCCTTCGTCCTCGCCTCCTTCTTCCCCTTCTATCCGATCGGCGTCGTCGGCATCCGCGGAAGACCTTGCCTCGCAGGATGAACCATCGCCAACAGGAGCATGAACTGCTCGAGCACTTCCAGCCGCCCATCTCGGACGCTCTTCTCCGGAACCGGTTCAACGACGATCGGCAGTTGCGCTTCGACATTCAGCAGGTGAACGTGCCGGCACCCAGCGTTGCCGACTTGGCGGTGTACTCGCTCCTCGCGCAGCGGGTGACGTACGCGGGTGTCTATGTGGACATATCGCCCGTSCCTGGCCAGGAATCCACGYGAGTGTTCATCGAGTTCCGAGCCATCCAGGTGGCRACGAACTTTGTGCACAGYGTYKCTACTCTCACCGGGGATTTGACCGTCTTGCCCGGGCACGATCGGGAGCCGGCGTATAGATTCTTGCGCGATTACGCCCTTCAGGTGGCGAGATCGGTGGCGCGAGTGCAGGCTCGGGGCACTCATCGCTTCACTGCATACAAAGGACTTCTGCGGCGGACTCCGGAGGGAGCACTTGCATTGGTGTCGCAGCTTCCCGCGCTCCTTCCTCCACGTGTACTACGTGATCGCCAAGCCGAAGCCGGAGCGGAAGGAGGGAACAGTGGCGCTTTATCCTTTTGGGAGGATCAAAACGAATCGCCTGGGGCTCTTACAGCTCATTCACATCGAGCTGTTGTCCATTGCGGAGGTAATCGCCGCGGAAGAAGAAGACTTGCAGCTCAGACTACGGACCGCCTCAGCTCCGTGAAGATCGTATAACGCGGCGGTGATACCTGACTATCTAGCGCGTGAAGGGGAGTCTGTGGTGGACTTCGGGCACGAAGATAAGACGTTGCGGCCTCCATCATCGTATCCAAAGCCGGCGGCCTTGAAGGCACCAAGAAAGAGAACCGTCCCGAAGTGGCGACGAAGTCCATCGCCGAAAGCTCAGGCCAGTCGAGTGGGCCCTGTAGAGGAGGTCGTCCAGCCTGCGCCGGTGAGCGAAGTCGATCCGGTTCGCGAGAGAAGAGCCACACTCGTCATCGGGCCCCGACCGGGGGAGGACCGCCCCGCCGAAGAGCCGCAGAGATCCACAGGCCATCCGGAGTCGACACCTCAGCGGCCCCACCTCCCCGATCTCAACAGCCATGCAGCCGGGCCATCAAGCGTAGGGGGGGGATTGGGACGAGTTCCATATCCCGCATCCAGACCCCCCCTCCTCGCAGGACCGTTCCGATTTTGCCAGCCCGCCAAGGATACCCCGGTCATTGACATTAGCAGTTCCCCCGAGCCGGACGGTCCATCAAACCGACGTGGATCACATGGTGGAACTGGCCACCCTCCAGCTTGAGACCATCGAGGGGGCGCCACGTCCCGATCCGGCATGGGAGGCGTTCTTGCAGCCTCCATTCGATGGATGTATAGCGGCGAGGTTGGTGGGCACACTCATCTACGAGACCGGCGGGCGGCCCAACATTATGTACCATATCCTGGTCTTCGCGGCGGTTAAGCGGGAGCGGAGGCCGTACACGGAGACCCATTTAGTGCTGACGGGTCCGCGAAATCAGCCGCTGCGACGACGAATCATTCGAGCGATCACCGATCTCGCGCCACGGGTCCTCTCGCATGTGCCGGGGGCTTTCCTTTACCCCTCCTTTGTCCAACACCACTTCAATGAAGTGGAAGTGTCGGCCAACTTGGCCGCGCTCGCGGCGTTTCTTCCTCCTCTTCCTCCCCCTCTCAATCCGGAGATTGATTACTTCCTATAATCATCTCCACCACCGCCTCTTTCTTTTTCTTCTTCTTTTCTGGATCTAAAGCTCGCGCGATGATACGGGCTGTGTATATGTCAAAAAAAAA